ACACGAGATTGGAATACCGAGAATAACGTTCAAGGGAGCAATAAAGAGATAATGCCGAGCTTTCAGAAACGAAGAGAACGTCCCGTGCGCGGGTAAGTTCTTAACGGGACGTTCCGACGTCCTGAGAACGTTCTATCCTCGAACGAGGCAATTACAGGCCGTGGTTTACCGGTCGCGTTTACACCCGTGGCTTCCTACCTTAGGTATAGGCTAAGCCGTGCGATCGTAAACTTAGCTGACGGGGGTCCAACCTCTTCGGCAGTGCTGTTCGAGATATCGAACAGCTACCTAGGAACTGTAGCTGCACTGAGTTCCGTGTCATGAAACCTGACCTCTTTAAGGTAGTCGTTGTCTAACATAAAACTATTAAAAATTGTGGTGGTTCGGAATGTCCACGGGGTCCAATTATGATATTAAAGCGTATTTGCTTTTATGATAACAATTTATTCACTAAATAATTTACAACAAAATTGCACACGATAAAAAGAACGGAGCTAGGTCTACTTTCCAGAACTGTCGTCCTTAACGAAGGTTCAACGTCACCCTCTTAAAGCTAGAAAATTCCCATAAGTGGAGACGCTGCCAAACACAGTGCCTTACATCTTTGAGAACGAAGAGAAAGTCGTTTACAAAACAGATGTTCTCTTGCATCAGCATTTAGGCTCTTCGCCTCGAAGACTACACAAAAACTTGACCTGTAGACGTACGAAAAAAATCCTTAATCGTAAAATTCAAGGCTATCGCCACAATCGAATATTAATTTGGATGGGATGGACCTTTGTCTATATTTTAAGAGGCTATACTAGTGTGACAGCTCAAAATTTGGGTAATCTTTGGGAATTGTTTTGAAAAAATGTATTCTATCGAATGTTTTTAAACTTAGGGATGTTGTGCCTGTAAATGAACTGTGTAAAATAATTTTTTCGTACAAAAATAATGAAACGCGAGCGACTTATAGCGCTATCCCCCGAGACGTCAAAAAAGAAAGTTGATTTCATTCATGATGTTATCGTGGCTCGTGGATTCAGCTTCCTGCGATCGCTCACGTGCCAGTCTAACGTTGATTAATATGTATGCGAGATACGGTCTTTATTACTGTTGCATCGCCGTTAGATAAGGCTGCATGAGTCTTACCGTTACACCGCGTTAAACGCGCATTTGCGTGCACGCGAGTGTTCGAACGTTCTGTTAATGATTCTGGCTTCATTGTCAGCCGCAGATTGGATAATGGGACATTGAATTTTAATACAGTATTCGTTCGTCGTGACGATCCTCGCTTCGACAGCTTCCTTAGACTCGCTTCTTTAGCTCGTTTCTCTTCTTAGGAAGTGGCAGAATTTTATTCAGCTAAACCGAGATATTAAATATATGTTTTTCAATAATAGAGTCAATAGCGAGGTAAATCTATGCAGATATTTCTTATCGTGCAGCTCTTTTAAATCTATCGTACGACCCTTTCTCAGAGACCGTAGCTCGATTCGTTTACTGCATGTGCGAGCTTACGAATTGAATTTTTCTCACGCGTCTCGCCACGGCCAAGTGGTATAAGACCGTGCGTGTCAGACGAGTAAAAGTACCCGGAAAGTTTCCCTGTGTCGCATCGGCTGGGAACGAGCGATACGCAGGTTCGGCCACTATACGGTGGTATGTCGACGATCTCGAGTGGCACTCGAGCGACCGATGCAACGACGGATCGAGCGTACGACGGAGAATCAGGGAAGTGTGCGAACGCGAACGTGCTTTATTG